GTGAATCTGCTTCGTGTCTGTATTGCTGCAAATGGTTGACATTCTTGCGGTAACAACGGGTCCCATACGGACACAACGCCTTCGAGGCCTCCCTCTCGGCTATCCGTCGCAGGTCTTCATCGACTTCAGCGAACTGGAAGTGTTTCGGTGACTTCTGTGCGCTGAAGTTCATCGCTATTTGTGGCCACAAGTGGTGTCCAACGGATGAAAAGGTTGACTCAAAGCGTGTATCAAATGATTGCTTCACTCAATGCAATGCATCACTGAATTGGCGGCAATAATAACAATACAAACAACACATCACTTGTCAAAACCCCGTCACCAAAGACTACGTCGTTTGTGAGCAACCCTTTGGGGGCTCTTTTGTTTGCCCCCTCTGCCCCCCAAATCACCAAGATGATCTACTTTATAATTACGGTACTAATCTGCATTTATAGTAATTGTAATAATAAAAGTTACAAATTGCTTCAAATATAGATTTTATGAATTATATTTTGTTTCAAGTTAAACAATGACTGTTACAAAGTTTTTAATGTCTAAAAACAAAGTTGATCATTTTATCAGTCTGTAATGATAGTAAATTATCAGGGTATAAGTAAACAGGAAACTAGGATTTGAAATGTACTTGTTTGTGCTAATCATTACAACAAATATTGAATTTAATTGTTAAATAAATATAAGTGTTTCAAACATTTGTAAAATGGTGTATTATAATATGGCTTTTATTAAATATTTCAATAGAAAGTATTTACATTTAGAAAATTAAAACCTATTTTCCATGATAAGCAAATAGTAATACAAATCAGTAACAACAAAACAAATCAATCAGTTTTTATGATTAATGATTATTGATTATCTAAATATAGGAATTAGTTTAAGGTTTTGTCAATTCTGTCACAAGTTTTCTAATAAACAAATAATGTGTTATAGACTAATCAAAACTGAATTTAAACAACTGTCCAGGGTTGATATTACAGTTGGCACAATTAAACTGTAATAATTTTGAAGTTAGAACACGTTTGTTTAGTCATAACCTATAAATTTAATTTAATTTTAAAATATTTTATTACACATACATATATAGCACATTAAATTTTTAATTATTTTATTAACATACGGTAATGTGCATTTGAATATAACATTACAAAATATGTGCATTACAAAATAACATTGTGAATTTTAACTTAAAACCTTTAACTTGTAAATTTAATCTGCAGTTTAAAGGTCGACAATGAATTGTTAGTTACTTACAGTAAATTAATATCTTTATATACAGATTCTGTATAGTACGGTAAAAACAAAATAAAATGTTGTATGTCAGTAACTATGAACCAGCACATATATAAAACAAAATTAATATAAATAAATTTTTATGACTATAATTATACAAATTATTTTTGAAAAATGGTTCTCATTAATAAAGTTTTATATTGTCAAATCGTTTTTATTTAAATTTTAATTGAATTAATGGATAACTTTTATAAATTGTCATTTGTCATGTCTGTGCTAGCTTACATTCTATTGGTATGTAAAAAATTTTAATTTAGTAGATTTATATTCTTTAGAGTCTAGAGTCTAGACTTTAACTTATAACATTTATTTATTAATATACAAGTTATACTGTAACATTTATAAAAAAATATTTTTTTTAGTTATATAAATGTCATTTAAAATTCTTCCCAGTGATTAGAATTAGATATAAAACAGACGTTTATTTAAATATTATAAATAAATATAACATATCAAGTTTAATTGTAAAAGTTGTCCTACTTATAAATTATAGATATAGTAGATATTTTATTATATCAATACATTAGAAATAAGTTTGTATTTAAATTAAGATGATGAATAAATTATTTTCAATATCTAAATAAAGCAACAATATTAAATTAATTCACAAGTTTAAAAACAATAGCATTTAATTATTTAAATTAGTTTTTTGGATTCATTGTGAATAAAACTCAGTTTCCTTGTTAAATTACAATCTTAAATATTATAAATTATAATTTAAAAATTAATAGCAGCTCTCTCTCTCTCTCTCTCTCTCTCTCTCTCTCATTTAATAGAAGTTTTTGAGATTGTTTCTATTTTTTTCAGAGGATATTTGAGATTTAAATCTTAAAAGTAAAGTATATTGAAAATAACTAAAACGTTGATAAAAATGTATAAACCTATTAGACATATCATATGAGGTTCTGTGTTGTGTTTAGAGATCATTAGAATCTAATATAAATAAAATGATAGAATTTTTTTTGTTTATAAAAATTAGTTCACATAAAAAGCTGAGCAAATGATGAATTGAATTGAGTGTTAGGTTTAATATGTTTTGTCAGCAATTGATTTAGACATTCAATTATATTATTGTTATTATTACATAAAAGTTGTCTCAATTCAAGGTTGCCATCGCATGGATGGAGATTTTACCATAAATTCAATTAAATTGTCAATTGATTTGAATGCCATACCATTCCGGAAGACCAGTCGCATACTCTTTAATGCCTTTCCCATACATTGCAATCAAATAATAAAGGATTTATTTGAACGCAAAGTCACATAACTATGGAATTCGAAGACCTCCTCAAAGGAGTGGGAGATTTCGGAAAGTTTCAGAAACTTTTAGTTATACTCCTTTTGATACCGGCGTCGGCTCTCAATATACTATACGACTATATGTTTATGTTAACGACACCCGACCACTGGTGTTATGTCCCGCAGTTGGCCAACCTCTCCAAACACGTACAAACCCAACTCATTAGACCACTCACTATAGAGCAGGGATTACCATCATATGACAAGTGCCACATGTATGACATTAACTATGATTTAGTCAACAGTACCACAGTTTTCCCGTTTAATAACTCGTCAGACATCAAGACCAGAGAGTGTGACAATGGATGGGTTTATGATGAGTCTGTATTCGGAGCGACCGCAACCACCCAGGTAATTTTATGCCATTTACAATTCATATTAATTTATGTTGTATAATGTGAAATATACAAAAATTATTTATTAAACAAAAGTTTTTACAACTTTTCTATTAATTTAGAATTTTATATTTAATGAGTTTACTAATAATTGATGATCCAGTTTAATTTAGTTTGCAATAATGCACATTATGTAAGTGTATTGATGTCTCTGGGAGCGATTGGACTCGTTATCACCACTCCTATCTTCTCGGCCGTTACCGATTGGTATGAATTCATTTAAATATTTAATATAAATTATTAATATAATTAAATTTTAAATAAAATATAGATAGCTTACTTGCTAATATTTATAAGTTAATTATTTTGTTTACAACACATATAGTAGATGTACGGTACTCTGCAATCATTTAAATCATAATAACTTTCCATTCATTTGTATTAAGATTACAATAGAATTTAAAAATTAATCAAACATTTCACATACTCTGTATGATTTAATTGTCCACAAAATTAAAATTTCGCATGAATGCACACAAATGCCAATACAGTAGACAATCTAATTGTTTTATAACTTTTTTCTTTTTATTGTATCTCAAGGATTGGCAGAAAGAAGTCCTTTCTAATCGTAAATATCATATTTATATTATCATTGGTGTCGCCGATTGTTTTGCGCGATTACATCAGTTTCTCCGTTTGCCGATTCATCGGAGGAAGTCTTCTTGTCATCTACTATCAAATCCCTTTCATTTTAGGTTTCACTCATTTCTCTCTCATAACAATAAATTCAAAATTAATATTAAGATTTTCATTTAATTATTTAAAGCCGTGGAATTTGTCGGAACGGACTATCGGTCAAAAACTTCAAGTTTATCAGCCATAGGCTATTCCTTAGGGGGGTGTATATTGCCGGGTGTGGTATATCTGACCAGTGACTGGGTTTGGTTAGCAGTGTTTCAATTTGTGGCTACCCTTCCGTTTCTTCTATGTTGGAGGTATGACTTAATTACAAGCATTAGTGTGCTTAATTATCCATGCAATACCAATTTAATAAACATGTGATAGACTAGTGCCGGAATCTGCCTCATGGCTTATCACACAAAAAAGGTATTCCGAAGCCTATGAGGTGCTGACCAAAGTGGCAAAAGTTAACGGACAGCCTGTGCCTAAAGACCTGATGATACAAATTCAAGTAATTCATTAGCAGTTTGTTTGCATAACAATAATATAATAGACTATTACTTGATATAAGAAAGTGGGAGCAAAACAGGAAGAGTCTAAGAAAACGGAGCAAAAGGACTCGACATATGATTTGATAAGAATTCCAGAATTACGCAAACAATTACTCATTTTAATTGTGCTATTCGTGGCCAATGTGGTGGCCTATGCGGGACTGGCACTCAACTCACTTAACTTTCACGGCAATGAATTAATGAACTTTTTCCTACTGGCTTTGGCTGATATGCCGGCCCTCTTCCTGGGCTGGTATCTCATTGAGGGCAGACTCGGCCGTCGCTGGACTAATACCCTGTCGTTAATGATCTGCGGGTTTAGTCTCTGTATTCCTGTACTGTTAGATCCATCGCAGAAGACGTTAATAACTATACTATCATTGCTGGGAAAGGGAGGAACGGCTGCTTCTTATATGATTATCTTTCAACAGTCGGCTGAGATATTCCCCACAACTCTCCGGAGCGAAGGGATGGGTATTTGCTCCACAATAAGCTCTGGTGTGGCTATAGTTGTGCCGCATATCTCTTATTTGGTAATCATTTTAAGAGTTGTGAAATATTTTTAATACAATTATTTTGTATAAACCTTAGGGAAGGTATGGTCTGTGGATTCCTATGTTTATAATGGGTTTCGGATGCCTTATAGCGGGCATAGCGTCGAGCTTTTTGCCGGAAACACTTAACGAGAATTTACCACAAAATAGTGCAGAATCCAAGAAATTTGGCAAAAATAAGTCATACTTTTGTTTGGCTAACGTCTCACTTAAAACACATCTTTAAAACACATTTATTTTTAGACAACAAATCAATTGAAAACAAGTCAAACGGACTTAAAAAGAATTATTTTAAACAATTTTAATATAAGAATATTTATCTCAATTTGTATTAATTTTTTAAACACAAGTATTTATACATTGAAGTGGTAATTGGTAACGGCAGTCACCTTTTTAGTACAAAAACTGTGTCAAAACAATTACAGAAACATTAAAAATGACTCAATTTATACTTTCAATGCCTTAATCATAATTATTGTCTCAAGTTTTCAAAAATATTTTATTCATAATTTATAAATACTCTTAATATGTAAATACATGTCATTATCAAAGCTTTTCGATGCCGAAGTCATATTCATCGGCAGTCCTCCAAATCAGACTCAAACCCTTACCCAACGCCTGTGCCGTCCATCCAATGCCGTACAGGTTCTCTCCGCTCACATTCTTCGAGTGTTCATTCCTGGAGCCCTTCCACGCGATCGGTGTGTCCTCAAAGCCATTCACAATCAAACCATTGACACCGCACTCGCCTATAGTTTCCTTCAATGCTTTCAAAAGTCTTTTCACATCAAATGAAGTGAAAAATCCATTCAAAACAATGCATGAAATGTCATCCCTTTCTGAAAACTCTGTCACACCAAATGTGGACACATCTGACTCCGAGGAGACATTGCAGTCGATTTGACACAACTGCGCGCCAAACCACTCGACCCACGACTGGACCTCCTCTTCAGACGAGTTATCCTTAATGACAGGAATCGGAACGTCATTATTGATGAACTGTCGCACAGACGGGAAGCATCGGAACCACTCCATTGACTGCAGACTATTGTCATCGCAATTGTCTTTAATATAAGAGAAGAAATTCTTGATAGACATCGACGATATGTCTCCACTCGCGAGCTCTTCATTCACTTCCCACTTCACAAAGACATCGAACACGAGATCAGATCTCTGGAGGCACTCAAGAGTTCGGGCGTAGAGTTTGGTTCCGGGAATGAACTTCTCGTCTTTGACATCGATTTCAATCATATATTTTTTGACACAATTCTTGTTGCGGTAGA